TGAGAAGTTAGCTATTATTCTGATAGACCTGCCTTTATATGTGACTTGATCTGTCTCTCTTGCAGCTTTTTATTTTCTTTGTTCCATGCATTTAGTGTTTTGACTATTGTATGACATGGGCTGTTTCTGTCTTGGTCCTATCTACTTGGTGTTCTGTATGACTTTGTACCATGACGAGTATCTTTTTCTTTAGATTTGAGAAATTGCCTTGTATGATTTTGTTAAAAATACTATCTGTGCCTTTGATCCAATCCCCTCCCCTCCTCCTCTTCCTCCTCCTCCAGGTATGATTCATTGGTGATGTTTCTGGTATCGATAGGTGATCTCATCCTTTTGGAGTGGGTGTTTGGATCTCTGTTTGCTGTTTCCCTAACTTGTCAAGTTTGGGCCCAGCTGAGTGGTGCTTGGTGTTCAGTCTTGGAGCCATTCCGTGTTGATGTGCGAGTGGAGTATTAGAACTTCTCAGCTCAGCTAGGCATAGGTGTAGCTTCTGAGCCTGAGGTTCCAGCACAGATTTCACATGGTCCTGGTGCAGCAGGGTGAGTGAGGTGGTTGCTAGGTGAGCAGATCACAGTGATGTCATCTATTGTGGGCCTGTTTGCTATGTCTTCAAATGGTGCAAGACAGAATGGTAAGACAGAATAAACTTACTCCCATAAACTACTTCTGTTTTGGCATTATTCATGAAGACAGAGTCCCCATGACCTAACTCCTTCCCAAAGATTGCATCTCTCAGCACTGCTACAGTAAGGAATATGCTTCTAACACATGCATTTGGGGGCACATTGAACTGCAGCAGTGTGTCCTCAATAAGTATTTGCCCTATAATAGTAAGTTATGATTATTATAATAGATGTTGTTGTAAAGTTGTTCTATGTGTATCTGATTATCTCAGAACCTCACTGCTTTCTGACATGTTGACTGACAATGTCTTAGAGGAAATGAACCAGAACTGTCAGGTAATAAGCTATATACTGGGCCTTCTGCTCTGACACAAATTCCTGGTGCTTTGGAGGTGTAATGAGGATAAGGGTTACTTTTGAAGAAAGGAACAGACATAAAAGATACATTCAGGGAGGTCTGTCTGTTTCCTCCTAGACAATCTGTACTGGCATATACATATGGACATTTTTTGCAAGAAGAATTTCTACAGGCGCACTAATGCTGTTTCATAAGGAAGTTAGTTGCCACTGAGTCAATTTTGGAGGATTTATAATTTTTCCTTTCAAAGATGCAAATTATAATGCAATAAGGTAACTGATAAGTGCTAAATGTCAAGTTTCAATTAATAAATTCCACAGATATTTCTAGAGAAAAGTTGATAGTTAAAATCTGGGGCAGCCTACAGAGGGTCTGGGTGGCCAGGACTGTGCCTTGAAAAGAGGCTGGCAGTTCGTGGAGCCATCTTTCTTCATCTATGTAGAGTGTCAACAAGACCATGAGTCATACTGCCTCCCTCAGCTGAGGAATGAACATGTGGCCCAGGCCAGGTTTGCTAAAAGTCATTTCTCTGTGATTTGACTCTTGAGAGGAACAATGACCAGAATAGAAAGGTGTCAACACTCACTCTTCCTGTCATTAGGACCCAGCCAATGCTACCTTCAATTTCCTATAATGTAAAAACTATCTTGGTTCTTGTCATTTCTGATTCTGTTTTGTTTTTCCTTAAGCTTTTCCTAGGATTCTGTAAAATGTCCCCTATCACTCACACACACACACACACATATCTCACACACATATCACAAACATGTGATATGTGTGTGTATTTTCCCCTAGCCATTACAATATCTTATAACCTGAACCCTGGCTGATATAGAGGCTAAGATTGTGGAACTGGAGGATGGAGGTAGAATTTATCCAGCACAATACCTGGATCTGGCTCTACTAGAGAATTAAGGTTTGCTAAAATAAAACGTGCTGGCTGAGTGATCTGATGGGAAGCATTCACATGATGCAAAGAGGGTAGGTAATGTAAATAAGAAAGTTTGAGAGCTACACTGAAGAACGATTTGAAGGAAAAAATCAAAGTATTAATTCTCTAGGAATTAGGAGTCCTTGAAGACGTTTTGTGCAAGCTTTGATGGTGAGTTGAATGAGGGAGTGATACGGGAAGAACAGTCATTCAGAAAGAATAAATAAATGATCAGGGAAGCAACTAACACATATCCATGATTTTCAGGCCCTGTTCCAAACGTCTACCTTGGATTAATTTAGCAATTCCTCATAAACGCTTAGGAGATAAGCACCATGATCACTCCCATTTTACAGAGGAATAAACAGAAACACAGACTGGCCAAACAATTTACCCAAAGTCAAACAGCTAATAAATGGTCAGCTTGGGATTGAAACCTAAGAAATCTGTTTGAAGAGCCCATGTTTCAGCCACTGCACTGCAATCCTCTGCAGTGAGGGTGTGCAGAGAAGAACGTGTTCTCAAGGAAGCAGTGGAGAACTCAGTCCTAAGAATCTGAGCTAGACTGACCACTGAAGGTATGGGCAGGAATAGATAAATCAGTAGATATCTTATAGTAAGAATTGTAGGGCCTTGCTTTGTCCAGAGGGGGTGAATGGTGAAGAAGAAACAGTTGGTTAATTAACTAATTAATTCTTCAGTAACTTATCATTAACTCTATAAACACTTATTAATCACCTACCAAAGACGATGGACTGCTCTAGCTACTGGGAACTGCATGGAAAACAAGAGAGATAAGATATTTGTTACCACGGAGGACACTTTCTACTAGGAAGAAGCTGAGAATAAGTAAATACACTAAAAACTATCAAGTCACAGTAATTTCTATAATGCAAATGAAAAGGCTAGAGAGATGGCTCAGCAATAAGAGCACTGGTTGTTCTTGTAGAAGACCTGGGTTCAAATTCCAACACCCACATGGCAGCTAACAACCATCCTCTTCTGTCCTTCACTGGTACACTTACACACATGCAGGAAATACACTCATACACATAAAATAAAAATAGATTAGAAAAAAGAAAATGAAAGATAAAAGTGTTAGCCATTGAGGTCTGGTTACATACACTGAATATTCAAGAGAGCCCTTACTAGGGATTTGTCATGTATACAACAAAGAACTTTATTCCACTATCTATCACACGTGCACCCCTCTCCCCACTGCCCTGCTGGCTGCATATACACATAATTACAAATAGAAAAATCTTTTTTTTTTTTTTTTTTTTTTTTTTTTTTTACATTGCTACAAGTACTGTTCTTTCTACAGTAAGCAAGCCCTTATGAGTTTTACCTGGAACTCACTATGTAGATCAGGCTGGCCTCGATCTCATAGAGATCTGCCTGCCTCTGCCTCCCAAGTGCTGGGATGAAATGTGTGTGCCAGCATGCCTGGCAAATAAATCTTTATATTGTTAAACCAGAAATGCTAAAGTAAGAGTTCAAGTCTAGATACTGGAAAAATAATGGATAGGAAGTCAGTGTCTTTCATAACTGTGATGCTTTGTCTCTAAACATAAGAGTTCAATTTGCAGGAATCTAAAGCAACAAGCTCTTAGGAAATCTAACTCAACAACTTTTTTTTTTTCTTTTTGAGAAGGTCTCAGTATGTAACCCAAACTGACCTAGAAACGGAGATCCTTCTGCCCTGGGCTCCTGAGTGGTGTGATTATCTCTGTGCATCAACACAGTGATTCATTTAACTTTTACTCTGGAAAGGCTCCAGAGAAGAATATTGACATTCCTCTGACCTTTTCATACAGTAGTACCCACCAAAGTATATCTTAAATCATGGCTCTTGAGCAATAGAAGGTAATATGATCATTACAGATGAGGCTCCACTGACAAAATGCCCTTCTGTTTGGATCTTAAATAGAATTTTGACTTTCATAGGCTACCTTTTTCCCGTATGACATAAATTTCGATATATCAGGGCAGCCTTGACTGCCTATCAGTCAAGTCTAATTGAAGAGTACCAGGCTTATATGGAAAAAAAAAAGCTGACATTAACCACCATAGGTCTAGATATGGTAGCTTGAAGAATGGTCAGTGCCTCTACAAATGTGCAAACTGAATATTAAATTACTGCGTAGGAGATAAGTGACCATTCCACAAAATTCCCTCATATAGTGAGTTTGCTGGGTTCCATAGAATGCATTTAAAGTCAGACGGCTATTAAACCAATAGCGTTTGCATCTTTGGGCAAAGCCAGTAGATGGTGGTCTTAAGTTGCAAGATGCTTCTGCTGTAACACCTGTCAGCATGGGAAATAACTACAGCATTCCACAAAATGTCAAAATCCACTTTTCAATTTATTGCACGCTGTAAACTAGAAGGAGGCAGCACAGGAGAGCTTTTGAAACTGGTATGTTAATCATTTTTCAAAAGCACATTTTTCTTTAAAATGCTTAAAATTCATCACAGTACTTGGAAATTATGCAATGCCTTCATTAGATCTGATATAAATGAAGTTGTCTCTATCTTTTCTTTCTAGATGAAATCAAATTTTAATTTCTGAATTGGAATGTTGCTTATTGGAATTCTGAAAAACCAGGGCCAACTTTAAGCTACATTTCCCAAATATATCTACCGAATGTTCCTATTGTTAAATGAACTTCAGAGATTCAGTTGCAGTAGTATTACAATGCCTTGTAATTATGCAGATGGACTAGAATTAAAGCCGTTGGAAATTAATTTTGAGTTGAAATATTAAATTAAATAGAATGTTTTATCATAATGGCATAATTTAAAACTAACTAAAAATAGCATTAATAATAATCATGATCACTCTCCTTTTATTAAAAGAATAGATTTAGCAATAAATTATTAAATGACCAAATTTACGGTACCCAAGTTAGTAAAGATTTTGTAGTAGTGTAAATCATATGACATGATTTCTGTCCAGTGACTATAGCAAATTAGTCACTATAGTAAATTTTAAAAGGCGTTAATAATATAAACACTTCAGTGTATGAAACTCAGAGTGATATTGTGTGCATTCTTGGACAATCAAATATTACTTTTTCTCTCCCAGCCATGTAACAGTCATGGACAGAATCAGCGATGGACAATTATACCTTGGACAACAGAAATGGGTAGATCTTTTATTTTTATAAGCCTATGATTTATGAGAAGTGATGTCTGATTCCCAATATTAACCTCCATTTGCTTTCTATTCAACAGTCTTTTGATTTTGCTCTGAAATTTTCTGTATTCTAAACAGAACACATGTCCTCTTTTGTAAATTTCTAGATCCATTCACCTTAAGAAAATTTTACAAATGGAAAGACCAAGGAAGTCTTGAACTTGTTTAAAAAGTCATATATCGGTAGATATGATTTTTTATTTTATTAAAATTTTTTTTACATCAAGTGTGCTTTATTTCCTCCACAGGTACTCTGTTAAATAAAGCACCATTTACATACTGCCAGGCCACAGCTAAAGAGGATTCTTTACAGAATCAAATTTCTTGTGGTTGTTCCATATACAAGTAAACTTAATTTTGATAATAAGAACCACAGTGATTGGAGGCAATCTGCCTCTTATTTTAAGGTACAAAACTGGCACAGAAGACACCATATTATACACAGTAAAAATGCTGTAAGTTTAAATTACATTGTACAGGGCCAGAGAACCCTGTTTTTTCCAGAAAGCCATATTAAATGAAAGCCACTACAGTGAACTTTTAATTATATAAAACATATCCATTATCTGATTGCCCTTTAGAAAGTATACAGAAGATGCAAGGGTTTTTTTTTTTTTTTTTTCCAATCTGGAGTTCTGCCTGACCAAGAATTAGCCTATAAATCTACCTTGCCATTCAAGTAGAGAGCACTGGACAAACTGAAGCACAAAAACAAATAAGCAAAACTTATACAAATGGCATTGGGGAGGAGCACTTAAAAGTAGATATGCTCCATCTAATGTCAAGAAGCAGCCTGTTTCCTTTGCCAGATATCCTTGTGACCACATGGATTGTAGACTCAATGGTCCTACATAGGGTATCTAAAATGTCATGTTACTGCATGTGACTAAAGAGGCCTCTGGAATGGCCACAACTGAGTGACAAAGCAGCCTTAGCGTCCTCGGAGGGCAAAGCTTGACCATCACAGCTTCTCAAATCTTCTAGGTCAGACAGAACTGCAGAGATAGAAGTAGAAAGAAACGTATTCTTCAGCTAGGATAGAATCCTTAGAGCAGTGGAGGTCTTCACAGTCATCCAATCTGCCACTGCTGGACTGTTCTTCTGCATGCTATGACCTGGCATTTGACATGTCTTCTGAAAATGAAGATGGAACTTCCATTCGATATTCTTTAACAGAACTATTTTCAGGGGAAGGACGATCTTTCTTGGTCCCTGAATCAATATTTTGATAGTTTCATATATGACTACGGTATTTACATTAGTCTCACTCCTCCCAGTCCCCCTCCAACACCTCCCAAGATCTCCCCAGTCCCTTATGATTTCTTCTACTTTTCTTTATTATTGTTACATACACATACATTTATAAATATATATTTGCATATTTATTAATTGATTGCACTGAGTCCATTTAGTAATGCTTGTGTGTACCTATGTTTTTAGGGCGGCTCACTTAGGATTACCTTACAGGGAGCTGTCCCTTTACAAAACTGATTCTCCCTCCCTCAGCATCTATTGTTTGCCTGTAGCTCTTCAATGTTAGGTGGGACCTTGTGAAATTTCCCCCATCCACTTTGTCACATCTACTGCTTTTGTCATTATGCAGATCTTGACGGACCACCATACTGTGGAGATTTCACTGGTGCAGTTTTCATATTATGTCTAGAATGCATTAACTAGCGGCAACTGTCTTGTCCCTCTCACTTTTATAATTTCCCCCTCTCCCTTCTTCTGAAATCTTCCCTGAGCCTTAGGTATAGAGGCTGCCTTGTAGATGTATCACTTAGCCTTGGGCAACTTATAGTTACTTATTCTCTGCATTTTGACTCATTGTGGAACTTTGTAATTGTCTCCATCTGTTGCAAGAAGAAGCTTCTTTGATGAGTGGTGTGAGAACAACTTTTGTCTGTGAATATAAGGATACATATTTAGAATACAGTAAAAATTACATTGGTCTAGGAAAGTGACAGTAGTAGATTCTTCTCTAGAGTCTATGACCTATCAAACCATGTGTACTTGGCTATGTTTATAGTACTATGCATGGATTCTTTCCTACTGAGCAAGTCTTAAGTGCAAATTGACAGCTGTTGATTACCCATAAGATAAAAGTGCCACTACTGAACCACTAGAGAGGATTTTCTGGGCCAGTCATTATTGAAATTCATAGGTTTTTTTTATTTTAATTAAAAGAAGCATTTCATTACAACAGCATTAACCTATTCAATAACGTTTTTCTGAGCTAGGATACATCTCTTTCAAAATTGGCTGTACATTTCTAGGTTTACAGATGAATTATTACGCTTATATAATCTTTTACTCATTATAAACTCTATAAGACATAAAATTAAATGAGGTTCCAACGTTTAAAAAAGATCTCCACTGCATCGTCAAAACACACAGTTTCATACAGAAAAATTCATTTCAGGGCTCTTGACATTGAGACGTTTTCACATGCATTTCTAATCTCTATATACATGACTATCACACCCTGCACAAAAGTCAATTCCAAATGGCTCAAAGACCTCAATGTAAAGCCTGAAATTCATAGGTTTTAGAGGTGGGTAGGACTGTTGCTTAGTTTTTTCCCTTGGGAGCTTGCATAATACCTTCTGATACTGTGAGAGTTGGTGTTCAGAAAGGAGGCATCCAGGTAAGTTCCAGCTCCTTATCTCCAAGTCCTGTATGTAAGTATGTGGTGTCTTCAACAATAGAGTCTTCCCTTCAAGATCTAGGAGGCAATCAAGAGCTTTGCCAATAGCTTGCATTATTTTGGGAGTTGCTTAGACTACTCTGACCAACAATTAAAAGGAAGATTTCCCTTGTCTGGCACTGTGGTTTTTGTTGTACAGCCATCAGCTATACACATATACAAATATATTTTCAGTAGGCTTATGAAATAATACATTTTCCTTTGGCTTTTACACCACCTAAGCATTATTTATCAACTTTCTTGTCTCTCTCCCCCTATATAGACTTTTCTCTTCCCTCCCCATTTAAATTATTCCCAATTCTCCCCATTTCCCCTTGATAACAACTACTCCACCCCCTTTTTGAGCTCCTTTGTGTCCTCTGTTCCACAGATTTCTTTCCATCTTCTTGGCTCCTGTGGTTACATAAGGATATATACTCATATGTAAGGATTTTGAGCTAGGATTCACAAATGAAAGAGAGCATGCATCATTAGTTTTTCTGAGTCTGACTTACCTCACATTGTATAACTGTTTTAAGTTCCATCTATTTACCTGCAAATTTCATAAGTTCGTTCTTCTAGCCTGCCTTTATTGAGCTGAACTTTGCTTCTGTGTTTATTGTTGTAGCTTTGTTGATTTCTGATCAGGTGTGAATAGTTAGTTGGTTTTTTCTTCAGGTTCTCACTTTTGATTTGTATTGGAGGGACAGGAATGATTTCAGGCTGGTCCAGCTCTGTAGTGTGCAATCACAGCTAGGACTTAAAGTGTGGAAATGGCAGCAGGGTGGACCAGTTCTCACTAACTCACCATGGAAGTTCAGGTCTAAGCAGGCTGTTGTGGGCCTAGTCCCAGAGAAGGAAGATGGCAACAAACTGGGTATGATACTTACTAACTCACCAGGATGGTCAGAGAAGCACATTCTGGGCCTAGTCCCAGAGGGGGAAGACAGTGATGAAATGGGCAGGTTTCTAACTAGCTTAGCAGGCTCAAGATTCTTTTTTCATAACTGAATTAGCTGTATGCTACCTGATATAGAACACTGAAGGTGATATTGGTGTTAGGGGGAAGAGGAATTAACTTTTCGCATCCCATGTTTCTTAAGGAAAGTTTTTAAATTAAATAGACATTTTTTTTCTGGTCTTTTTGAGACAGGGTCTCCCTGTAGCCCCAGCTGTCCTGGAACTCACTATGTAGACCAGGCTGGCCTTGAACTCACAGCAATCCACCTGCCTCTGCCTCTCGAATGCTGGGATTAAAGGCGTGTGCCACCACGCCTGGCTTAAATAGACATTTTAATGTATACATGTGCTATAGTCTTGAGTTTAATGCCTTTGAATGTGTCATTCTATAAAGTTGGTTTTTAGTAGCTGATTCCTATTTTATAAAGTTATCAGAACTGAAACTATCTAGAGTTACATGAGGTATCAGTGGCTTGAGACGTGTTAAATGTGTAATTTAACTCAAATCACCTTTCAAAATTCTAATATTTTCCTAGTCCAAGTTTTAATGTTTATAAGGGTGTTAAACTACAAAGGATATGTGTTATATATATATGTTAATACATAATGGAAACTTCAAAAAATGTGAGAATACATGTCACCTCACCAGGTTTATCATTAGCAATAAATAACAGATTTTAGAATGATTTGAATCAACAAAGTTGGTTTAGGATAAACCATCCATTTGTTATTTTTGTCTTACTAATACTTTGACTATGAGTTTACTCCTTTTTTTTTAAACATAACTTCAAAGTCACTTTGGCAGAAGGGAATATGTATTGCTGTAGACCATTCATAAAATTGTAGGGATTGTGGCTATGACTCACTAGTAGAGCCACTAGCATACATGAAGCTTTGAGTTCAATACCAGCACCACACACACACACACACACACACACACACACACACACACACACTCCCCACTCCCCAAACACACACAATTCATATTAAAAGTGGTGTGGTGTAAAACCCAGGTAGTTTATTCTCCTTCACAGAACTGTGGGTTGTCATCTACAAAGTGCCAGTTTTAGCATGCTCAAAAAATGTATTCAGTACTGAGAATGAAATAACACAATCCATGTATCTGTAGTCTCAAACTATACCTACAGATAATTTTGTATATTTTGGTGAAACATTCATTCAAGGGCCAAGATAGCCATTAAACATCCTCATGTCATTCTGAGACACTTATCTAAACTAGGGAGTCAAACAGACATCTAGAAGCATCTACAGACTCATTAAGATTGTCTCAGTAACTCCTTTGGCTTTTATGTAACTCAGGAAATAGGAAATCATAACATCGTAAATAGTATTAATCTGAATTCATCGATGAAGCCAGAGCAATTTTAAGCCAATCATTTCTCATTAGGCTAATGCTAGCAAAGTTTCTTATTCAGAGAAGTGTTTTTTTCCTTTCATTTTTCTTCTTTTGACTAGTCAGTGGCCAATGAGGTGTAATAAGTTTGAGCAAATTGGGGCTGAGGTCTCTTAGGTTAGCTTTATTCTTTGCTGTAAATTATAGCAGCTTTATAACTGTTTAACACAGCTCTTGAATCAAAAATGTCACACCTGATTTTTTCTGTTCAGGCTGAATGACTGGCATTAAAGGGAGAGAGAGAGAAGAGCAGGAGAATCAGAGCGAGCAGAGACACAGCCTCCTACAATTCAAGATTAAAGCTGTTCTCTCAGATTGTCAGGCTGATTTATATTTTAACTATTGAGCACCTGAAGTGGTCATTGAACAGAATCCTAATAAGCTAGTGTCTTCTCATAATGTTTTTCATTACAAATTATAAATTGGCAACTTTTTAAAAGAACTTTTGGAATTCTGTTTCATATACTGTCTTTTGTTGACACTGAATTGGATTTTGGATTTTATTTTGTTTTTCAGGCTCCAACAATCAGGTGTGGCTAGAATTGCTTGCTTCTCAAATTTCACATCTGTTCCTTTACCCATAGGAAAGCTGGTGATTGTTATGAGAAGGCATCTCACTTTCTAAGTGCTGACCCTATGTAATCAGACGGTGTCACTCCAAAGGATACTGGCATGGAAGGATGACCACCCTGAGCAGGCTTCAGTGGGTCGACAAATGTGAGTCATCTGCTGTTTTCCTGCATTCTTCATTGACATTTCATCCCAGAATGAGGGGGGCTTTAATTTTTAGACTGGATTAGCAAAAATCAGTAATTAATACATGAAGTACCAAATATGAAATATTACTCTACACAGAGGCATTTCACACTTCATTGATTTCATGAGCGGGCCAGAGGTGCCAGAACAATAATTAATATGTTTTAAGGGAAAGATTATTATGCAAGGTCAGCAGAATCTGAAGGATTAACAAAGAAGAGATTAAAATATATTCTGAAACTATTTCTTAAATATGGGTTTTAATTGAGTTTTAATTGATATTTGAAAAAAGACACAGATTTTCTATGATAATTTAGTAACAATTCTTTATCTGTCAGTGAAACATGCTATACATGCAAACATAATGTATACCAATGTACTGGCCTTTTAGGAACAATATCAAAAGAAAATGTTGCTGTGTATGTGCTCATCTATTCTTGGGTATATGACATACTTATTTACATTTCTGAATTTTCACTGTAATAGTAAAATTTAAAGCCCTAGCAAAATCACTTAGTATTATCTCAAAATTTACCAGCCAATATGTATTTTTCAAAAAAGAGTTTGAGTTCTCCAGGCTTGGGTCTAGGTCATGGTGACATGGCTAAATGAACCAGGAAGGTGGGACTGTAAGTAAATATAGGATGGCTGTGGAGCCTCCGTCCGGAAACTGGTGAAGAAGACTGAAACCAGTCAGCATGCCAAGAATACGTGCTCCTTCTGTAGCAAGACCAAGGTGAAAAGATGGGCAGTTGGCATCTGGCACTGTGGTTCCTGCATGAAAATGGTGGCTGGTGGAGCCTGACCTACCACACCACCTCTGCTGACATGGTCAAGTCTGCCCTCAGAAGACTGAAAGAACTGAAGGACCAGTAGAAGCACTGCCATCTGGGACATCCCTAGCCCACAGTGACTGGGTTAATTTATGTAACAATAACAACAAAATAATAATAAAGAAATAAATAAAAAAGAATTTGAATTTCAGAGAATCAAAAACAGAACTATTAAAATGAAACCATCCACAGACTCAGTGTGCTGATGCAAAGGTATATTTTGGTATATCTACTTTTGGTATTTTTTTCCTCTATGAAATATTATGCAATATATTTTTCAGTGTGGCTTTTACTTATTATTTATTTATGCTATTCATTTGTTTTGTAGTGTTGGAAACTGAAGACAGAGCATTCAGTATTTTCCTGCGTTATTTTTAATGCCTGCATAATGCTCCTCTGTGTATTTCCCAAGCATCTATGCAACCTTATGTGGAAGACCATTTCTAAAAGTTAACCGACTGTAATGAACATCACTAGAGCTATTCTGGTGATGCTCTTTGGAATCATCAGTAGAAATGAAATTCTGATTACTTTGACAGATATTACTAGAAGGTCTTCTGTAAAGGTCATCTCAGTTTATTCCTAACATAGTGTCTGTTTCACATTTACTCCGAGTTGTGATTAAAAAGCTGTTTTCATATAGTGTTAATTGAAGGTGATTGAAAGAAAAATCTCTTGAGAGAATGTCAAAGGTAAAATAGTTCTAGTTATTTTAAGCCTTAAATAATCAGGATCATTCTGCCACATATTTTACCACAAGTTAAAAGCATTAGCTGTTATTTACTGAGTGTTAATCATTATCCATGGTAGCTTTGCAATGGTTCTGTGTGTTTGACATCAATTATTTTATTTTTTTAATCCTTAAAATTACCTGACTCAATAAACTTTTATCCTCCTTTTTAAAGATGAGAAATCTGTAATTCAGATAGTTTATTAATAAATTGCTCAGAGTTACACAAATAGTTGGTAGGGAGGTGGTATTTGAATCCTATATAGTCTAATTCAGATGATCATAGTACAGGGACCTAAAACCTGAATCCCAAATCTCTTGAGCAAATATCGTATTTGCTTATATGTTCATAACAACCATTTATTCCAATGTGTTGTTTGGTATTATTACTGACGGTATCTTCTTGGATAAGCTGTGAGTTTTGCCACCTGGTCCTGGTATGGTAAACAGTTGGTGTCTCATTCCTCAAACAAGGTAGCAGGAAGGCCGCTGCTGGGTGGGTGGGTGGGGGGTAGGCTCCTATGCTTTCTCAGTGCAAGGCTCTTTGAGGTAGACATGCCAAAGGCTCTTCCTCTCTCTTTACAAACCAGTCTGTGAGACCGTTGCCTTTCTCAGTACCTTCATTTTGGGTGTGGAATTTGAGTTCTGTAAACACAACTAGCTCTTCTTGAGGTGGTTTCTTTAGCCCAAGGGCTTTATGTTGAGAAATTGGGCCAAAGGGGACGGCATGTTTCTTTGGTGACGAGTTGTGGGGAAGGTTGGGATGGAGTCATGGGCACAAGATCTACTGTGGACAATATTCAGACAGACAAAGGGCAAGGGTACACTATCACGACATGGAGCTCCGAAGCATGCGCTGAGTAGGGCCACAAATGGTCCTGCATTGGTGTGGTGATCAGAAGCGTACTGAGCCCTGGTCCTGCTCATTTGAAGCTCTACCTTCTCTCCTCTGTTCCCTTGCTCATCAGCAGGCTAAAGAGAGGATCCATCTCCCACTTGAGCTTGGGGCTTTTTGGCACAAAGCTTGATTGTCTCAGTTTCCTCTTGGCAGATTTAAATTGTTAGAGAAATGGAACTCGTTTGAAAACAGTAGGCCCTGGCAGGCGCTGTCCCCAGCCTTGCCCAGGACTCCAGGAACAGTTGTCGATTGGCGGCATGGCATTTGTCTAGGTTAGGTTTGATCTTAGTCTCAGATCCCATATGGTCAAAAGTAGTTCAGCTTTAAAGTTTTATACACTTCTGAATGTGAGGAAGGAGTGCTCGCTGCATACGGAGTCAGCAGATTTTTATTGTGGAATTAAGACTTAAGGGAGATAGGCCATTAAGAATAAACGTTCTCCAAACAGTAATAGAGGACATGAAGTGTGTGTGTGTGTGTGTGTGTGTGTGTGTGTGTGTGTGTATGGGGGGGAGTGTCGGGTGGGAGCAGAGAAGGAGAGGGGGTTTGAATATGATCAGAATAAGTTATATGAAATTCTCACATCAATAAAAATATTAAAAAGAATAAACGTTCTCATATTTACATGATAATAGGGTGAACCCAGAAGGGACAAAACACTTTATCATAAATGGAGAAGAAAATCACTATTTCTAATAGAATTAGTTCCAATATAATGAAGCTATCTGTGTTTTTTGGTTTACTTCACAGGAGTACCTTAGTAGATATGTAATACTGTAATATACTTAGTGGCTCTGGCCAGATCTGATCTTTAAACAGATCAGAATAATAGCAAAAAAGCTTAGAGCTTACCCTGTTTACAAATATTTTTGTTAGTATTAATTTCTAGTTAAACCATACTGCTATTTGATTATATAATTAAAAACTTCATCTTTCCTAACACCATGTGAAAAGAGAAGAACGTTTATCAGCAGGATTTCTGAACACAGAATAGATTTCAGAGCCATAAAGGGTCTACCTACTCCAAAATATTTTTAAGAACAGAAATAGCAAGCTTTCATCTGCTCAGCCTCATTTAAATGCCCTCTGTTTTCTTTGGCTCCACCACTCATTAACATTTCGCTGATATCAATCTTTTTTCATTTCAGAACCTCCAAGAAATAAATTCCAGGTCTTTTCATGGATTTAGTTTAATAAAGACTATTATAGCCAATGATCCATGGAGAATTAATGAAAACTTTTTGGTGGCTCAACGAAGTTAAATTCTCTTATCCTGACTTGTGACCTGAGTTTATTCCTGTCAGACAAGACTATCTACTTCAACTAGCCCAGCTTCAGCAGAAGCTAAAGCAGAGTAGAGAAAGCTAGGGGGAGAGGAGCGATTCGATTAAATATAACAATTTGTACATCTGTGCCTGAGTTTCCTCACTTCTTACAATTGTGTATAAAGAACCTGCTGTTCAATGGGGATTAAGCCCATTCCAATTACTGATGCTTTTAAACTTTACAGATGTCAAAGGCATTCCTTCAAACCTGTTCGTTTCCAAAGCAAGGTTTTTCCAGATGGGAATTAGAAAGCAAGATTTGACAAAATCTGCTACCCTATTACTCAGTACAAAAAGATATTACAGAAACTGTCTCATTTCTGCTAATCCACTCATTTCAGGTTTGATTTACCTTTTTGGTCTTGATCTAAAAATCTCCATGGCTTTATAGAATTATATGTTGCTATATTCAGGTTTTGAATGAATCACACTGTATATGCATTTTAATATGATCTCTCAGATTCCAAAGCCAGGATTAACCTGTTGTTTTTGATTAAAAAGACTATCTTTTAGATTTTAAAGGAGTTGTCTTAAATTTCTTTAGCTGTCTATTGATAATTATGTTTGTTGGCTATATTAAGGGAATAAGGGAAAGCAATGTTGCACAGTTTTTAAAAATACAAGCACTCAGTACGCACTGGTGTACAAGAGTGGACGTTTCTGTAGCATCAAGTTTGTATTCCTACCACTGGCATCTTAAGCAATTGAGACTGTGAATACAGAGCTCATTTGAACCAGAGTAAGGAAGAGTTTGGTACTGGTTAGGTCATAGAAACTGGGATAGAAAAGAAACCCATTTCCTTATTGCTTATAAATCAAAGAGAAAGTTCAGTTAGTAGACGGCTTCATAGCACGCACACAGCCCTGAGGTCAACCCTCAGCACCACATCAAACTGATTGGTGGAGTCCAACCTCAAACCCAGTGTTTAGGAGAAATAGGCAGAATCTCAAGGCCATCCTCAGCTATATAGAAAGTTTGAGGCCAACCTGAGATACTTGAAATGCTGTCTCAAAAACAAACAAAATCAAGCTGAGAGACTTTGCTTGTCCCTCTTGTGCTGGTTTTTCTTGGCTTTGCTGAGATGGTATGGGAAGTCAAAAAATTTTTTTTTTGCCAGGGGAGTCAAAATTTTTAAGAAGGGATCCTGATATTTTAAGTAATAACAGAAATAATAATAACACCTTGAAATGCTTAGGTGGAGACAGGCGTTCTAAATACATATATCAATTCAGCTAATTCTCTCAACACCCTCACAAAGCTGATGCCATTATTTCTTCATATAGATGAAGAAACAAAGACGCAAAGAGGTGAAGAAAACTGCTCAAGCTTAAAGGCAAAACTAGGTCCAAACTTGAGGACCACAGTTTTAAGTATTATGCTGATCACAGTTGGGCAGTTAGTCACTAGCCACCCCCAAATTACATGGAACAAAATAAAAGTCACTCTAATGAGAATGTGGTAAAAAGCAAAGAAGAGGGCTGGAGAGATGGCTCATTGGTTAAGAACACTGGCTGCTCTTGCAGAAGACCCAGATTTGAATCCCAGCACCCACATGGCAGCTAACAACTATCCATAACTCCAGTTCCAGGGTATTTGATGCTCTCTTCTGACCTTTGTGAGAATTGCATGACATAGGTGCACCTACCTACATGCAAGAAAAGCACTCATACAAATAAAATAAAAATAATAAAATATTTTTTAAAAGAGCAAAGAATAAAATAGAAACAACTTTATTCTCTAGCATTCCTTTTCATTTAATGTATTTTTAAAAATTTATTAATGTGTGTGTATGTATGAGAGAGCAAGAGCAAGCACGAGAGTGAGAGCAAGAATGAGAGAGAGAGAGAGAGAGAGAGAGAGAGAGAGAGAGAGAGACACATGTGGAGGTCAGAGAAACTTGTATGAGTCAATTTTCTCCTTCCCCCATATGGGTTCCAGGGATCAAACTCAAGTTACCAGGTTTGATGGCAGATGCCCTTGCCTAAGAAGTCATCTAGATGGCCCTAGGCTACTGTTTGAAAAGGGAGAAAGTTCAGATATGGGCTGCCCTGCTTGCCCCATGTCTACAC